ATGATGAGTGGATAGGCTAAGTCCATGCGTCTACGGAGTCGGCGCTTCCCCTGCGTCTGGCGGTTCACTTGAGACATGCTGTTGAAGTAGATCAGGTAGCAAAACCCCAACGAGGAGAGGTCCAACCATGGATGTTGCTTCTCGTAAGCATTCTGGATGGTTATGCAGATGTCCATGTCATACGGTGTCCAGGAGTTGTTGTCATTCTCCCATTCCCACACTACCCCTTTGCCAGGAGCAGAAGAAGGATCATAAAAATTCCTCCGTACGGGGCGCATTGTCCCTGAAAGAGAGTGAGACCACAAAGAGGTGAACTAAAACGGCAGAGGAACTAAAGGTAAAATTGTTGCATCAAACATTGCTGGAAGAATTTAAGGAAAGGCAAGACAACCAGCTACTAGGGTTTCCTTATTTATTACATCGTATTATAGTTCCGATAGAAGAGAAGATCTGTAGCTCACGGTTGAACTATGGAGTCCTTGGTGCTCTCTGAGCTTGCAGGCATTTCATTACCCAACTAGGGAACATCATCAGTGCGAGGGAGTGTGGGGTTCACCCTGATGAAGTCTGTGATATTACAATAACAAAGCTACACGCATTGCTGAAAATAAACTACACATACAGGGAAATAAGAGAAAAAGGGATCCACATAATGTTAATACAAGATCAACTCAACTCTGAAACTAATTACTAAATCTAGACCATATATGGCTCCTTCCTCTCTTTTTTCAGAAAAAGGCAGTTGAAAAATGGGTACATCTTGAAACCAGTCTTCAACATCAGGAAGGTAGATTTCTTTCCAGGAGGGTCTGCAAGAGGGTGTCAAAAAAGTCAAGATGGCGTCCGCACCCATGTGATAGAAAGCCTGCTCCTTTTTTACATGTAAAAAGGGGGTGAGGCTGCAGTTGGTTGATGGATGGAAGGAAGGAGGGAAGGAGGGAAGGGCATGGTCCCACAGTGACTTCTGAGAAAGAAAGAAAGAAAGAAAGAAAGAAAGAAAGAAAGAAAGAAAGAAAGAAAGA